ATGGAACATCAGGTTATATTATATGAAAACTCAGATGATCCTACTCACCAAGCCAATATTTGATCATACCTATATGGGTTAGGAAATAAGCATTTGAGAAGTTGATGTCATAAATGTGTTTTTACAAGCCCCACTTTGTGAGCAATGGGAGGAGGTGAGATAGAAGGGGTATACATAGACATTAGTGATGGATTTAACCAGGACCAAGTCCAGAAGTCTGGATAAGATTCAGTTGAGCAGTATTGGTTAAAGCATTAAATACCTTTGTAAATCTGGCACTGGTTCATTCATATTTTATTATTATTGTTATTAGGGCTCAGGATTTACTGCAGTTGGCTTGGATCAGAATCAGCTGCAATGGTTTTCAAGCTTTTTTCCTCTTTTCTTTCTTTGGTGCATTTATGCCAACAAAGCTGTTACTGATTTTTTTAAAGAATTCTATCTCCCTCTAATGGTGAAAGGGGTTAACTTCAGTTCCTAGAAGCAATGGGCATGTGAGTGCATAAGTATGTGAACTAATGACGTGACTAATTAAAGGGTGCAAAGCCCCAGTGTTAGGTGTTTTATAATGTTCTGTCTCACAGAAACCCCCTTTTATCTTTGATTCTCAGTTGTTGTATATTAAATCCCATTTTAATGCCCCCATTGCAAAAACAACCTTTTAAAATTCCCCGAATGATGGTGAATTCCTATTTAGGTTATGTGACATGATTTTTCTCCCTCACAACTCCTGTAATGTAGGATAATATATTGGGTCATGCCATAAGATAATTGGGTAATCACGATAATGTAACATTTTACAGAAAAAAATCTCTTTGGGTTACGCTGTTTTCAGTTCAGCCAAGACATGTGTAAACCCTGATCACCTTGTAACACAGCCATGTGATAGAAGTGCACTGGAGCAAGGCAATATTGATTTACTTTCTGTGCATAAAGCCGAGAAGCCAGGCACTCCTTACCACCTTTTCTGAACTCTGATTCCTGTGCTCCCTGCTGCCAGCCCCCCACGTATCATCCCCTCTGTTGTTTGTCCTATATCACTCTAACCATCCCTGAGTTGCAGATATCTGGACTGTGAGCCTCAAGTCTCACAGCCTCTGCTGTAACCACCTCAACTAGAATCATTAACACTGGTCATACAGCTGGACCAGTAGCAGCTTGTGCCGTTATATATATGCTCTGGATTCTGGATTTCCACTCCAACTCACCTGATGAAGTGGGTTTTACCCACAAAAGCTCACGATATATATTTGTTAGTCTCTAAGGCTATGTTTAGCCTGCAGCTTCTTTTAGAAGAAGCTTTTCCAGAAGAGATCTTCCAAAAAAACTTCTTCCGAAAGAGAGCGTCTACACAGCAAAAGTGCTTCAAAAAACCAATCTGATTTTTTGAATGATTGCATCCACTCTGAATGGACACTATGTCACATTTAAGCTGTGATTACTTGTAGAAAGAAGTTTACCAATGTCGGAAAAACCCCTCTGATCTTTTGATTTTTTTTCGAAAGAACATGATTGCAGTGTGGATCTAAGTGAAGTTTTTTGGGAAAATGGCTGTTTTTCTGAAAAAAAAACTCTGCAGTATAGACATACCCAAGGTGCCACAGGGCAGCTCATTCTTTTTAAAGCACCAGATTAACATAGCTACCCCTCTGAGACTTTCCTCTTAATTATCCATCATGAGTTCCTGGCTATAAACACTTTACTGCTCCCTAGATCGTCTCAGCTCCATGTCCCTGGTATGAACAGCACATCTCTCTGTCCCTCTTCATCACAGGCCCTGCTGTGAGCCCAACTGTATTCCCTAGTGTGGTATTACAAAGAATATTGAATTAATGGAGGGATGTTCCAAGACTGGGAACTCCGCAAAATCGTGCCTTGCCCTGTTTCAACTGATATTTAGCATTGTCTGAGTTTTTTTCTGCTGCCAGGAAATATCCATTTAGTGCCAAAACAGGATACTCATAAAACAAGCTGAACATGAGTATCTGACGAGAATGTCAATACTATCTATTCATGACATCCTGCTGATTGGATTCCAGAATGATGGACTATGATGATTTTGGAGACCTTTGAACCCCTACTGCTTCTTTTGAGCACCATCATATTTCTCCAGACATTTT